CCTCCAGCCACGACCCTCTTCTGCAGGGCGGTGCGCGGGCAAAGCCTCTTCCCACACAGCGCTGGAGGGGGCACGTGAACGGCCGTCATCCTGAACTTGGGGGTTTCTGTCTTTCATTTCAGCCCGGCGAGTGTTTAAGGGGCCGCTGGGGCGCTCAGACCGCGGGGGCTCTGCTTCACACCTGCTGTGTTCCAGAGGCGGCTTTGCCTGCAGACACCTTGGGAAGGCAGTGCAAGGGGAGGGCAGGTAGATCGGCCCGCGGCAGTGAAATAACATTTGCTTTTAGAACGAAACCTTCATGCATGTGACATGCACACACGGCACATATTCGGTGAAATGCAGTGTTCGCATGTAATGCCTCTCGGAAGACAGAACGCAGAGCTTGTCCGTCGCCCGGGGAGACCCGCTGCGCGGCTGTCTCGGGGGGCACAGACACGGTGCCCAGCCTCAGGGGGAGCCCCGAGGGAGTGGGGAGGGGCACGGGCCTGTGGTCCAATGGCCTACATACGACAGGTGCTCTTGAGCAAAGGAACCGAAACTTTTGGAAACTCAATGGTCTTCATCTGGAAAATGGGGATGGTTCCAATGCCATCTTGCAGATTTGAGGAGGAAATGGAATGATACATTGTATCTAATAAATCCCGAGGTGCTGTAGAAATAACGTTTAGGATGACTCCTCACGATTCTCGTTCCTGCCCGGGTGGTGGGAGTCACACCTGCCTCCGACGACGGCCCTCTGTCCTTGAACTTGTCGAGCTATCGCACAGAATCTTGCTCACCGCTGCTGGACCGTGAGCTTCTCTCAACCCGTCCTCCCCGCAGAACAACCCCGTACACAACACAGAGACAACACCAGGCGCCAGCCGGCTCGGCGCAGGGCTTCTCACCTTGGACAGCACTGGCGTGCGGGGCCAGGTCATTCCCTAGGAGGGGTCTGCTGCCCAGTGTTTAGGATGTGGAGCATCACCTCTGGCCTCCACCCACTGGATGCCAGGAACGTCCCCGTCCCCTGAGCTGTGACAATAAAAACATCTGCAGAAGCCCTGGCTGGCGTAGCTCAGTGGATTGAGTGCGGGCTGCGAACCAAAGCATCGCAGGTTCGATTCCCAGTCAGGGCACATGCCTGGGTTGCAGGCCATGACCCCCAGCAACCACACATTGATGTTTCTCTCTCTCTCTTTCTCCCTCCCTTCCCTCTCTAAAAAATAAATAAATAAAATCTTAAAAAAAAAAGTCTGCAGACACTGCCAGGTGTCCCCTGGAGGCACAGTCACTGCGGGGGAGAACCACTGATCTAATGAATGGGGACCCTCTGAACTCAGGCGAGGAGGCCAGAGGGGTCTGCCCAACCCCTCCCATTCGCTCGGCGGTTATCCGAGTGAAGCGCCTGTCCCCAGGGTCTGAGCCAGGCGCAGAGGGGCCTGGGCTCCAGGCTCAGAAGGATCCCCAGCTGTGGCCCATCCAAACCTTCCCTGGGGGACGGCAGCATGTCCCCCAAACCAGGGGTTCATCCTCGCTTCCCTCTTCCTCATTCCACAGAGCCAACCCACCAGCAAGCCACACAATTCTGCCTTTAAAACAACCACAACAGCCCCTGGCCGGGTAGCTCGGGTATCTCAGGTAGCTCAGTTGGTTAGAGCATCGTCCTGTTGTGCCAAGGTTGCAGGTTCCATCCCCGGTCAGGGCACGTAAAGAATCAACGAGTGCATCATTAAGTGGAACAACAAAGCAGTGTCTGTTTCTCCCCCTCCCCCTCTCTCTTTCCCCCTCTCTCCTCCCCCCACCCCTGCACCCTTCTGCAGTCCTCACCATCCCTTACCTGCAGAGGCTTCCGTGCAGGAGCCCAGGAGGCCCTGCTGGACCTAAGTAACATCATGTGCCCCCAGGGTTCTCCTAGCTCACTCAGACGGAGGGTCGCACCCCCTCGGTGGCCCCGCAATCTCGCCGCTGAAGAATTTTGAGTGCTCCCCTGCCTCCTTGCTCTTTCAGGCCGACTGCTGGGGTTTGGAGAGCGGACTTGGCCTCAGCACCCAGCTCTCAATACTCTGCAAGGTCACGGCCTGAACGACCCCACTAACTCACTGATCACACGTACGACCCCCTCTCCTATTCCCATCCCGCCGGGCTGAGCCCCTCTGGTCACAGGCACCCGGCCACCCCAGAGGACGCCGCTCTGAGGTCTGAAGGGACGGCCTGGCCCACGGCTGACCAGGGCGGAGGCCGAGAACGCAGGCATAGTCAGGCTCCTGTGCCCACTCGGCCAGGCCGTTGTGCCCGGAGAGTCCATCCGATGCTAACTGAGGCGTTGCTGTGGACCACACCCACGTTCAGTGAAGGGGACTGGCCTCGCCATGGGTGGGCCGCGTCTCATCAGGGGACGGTCTAGGGAGCCAGTCTGAGACTTCCCTGAGGAATTCCGCTTCACGTGCTGGGGCTTCCAGGCTGCCGCTATGCCCTGCAGACCTCAGGGGGACCGGAGCCCCTTGGCCTGGTGCAGGGCTGCCTGAACCCCCGCCTTCATCCCTGTGCTGACCCCTCAGGCTGGAAGGGTGGCCCCGCAGGGCAGGTGGGCAGCAGGCTGCTGAGGGCAAGCACCGGCCCACATCAAAGGCAACGGTACTTGCACTTGGCTTGCAAGACAACGAACGGGCTCCTACCCACCCCTCTCCTCCTCCTTTTAACTCGGGAACAGCGCAGAGGGAACAGGAGACAGTTTTGTTTCTGCAGCGCTGCCCTCCCCTCCTCACGGCCCCCCCACTCTGAGGCCGGCTCAGGCCAGACTCCGGAAGTGAGGGCAGGGCACGCTCACTCCGCCCCCACTCCACACCCCCACGCACACACCCCCCACACCCCCACACACCCCCCCCACACACACCCACACCCCCCCCCACACACCCCCACACCACACCCACACTCCGGACACTGGTCTCTTTTCTGCAGGTAGGAACTAGCGTTTGAAAAAGAAAGCTCTGGAAATGCAGCTTGCTGTCGTGTTCCTGCCGTGACTCTCCCGGAGTGTGTGGCATCGGGGGGTGCCATCAGAAACGGATCCCCTGTCCCCCCAAAACACAAAACCAAAGCCAAAGGCAGACCGCATGCCCGACCGCAGGGCCAGCCCTGCTGCGCCTGGTACCCACGCACTCGGGGTCACCCACCCTTCACAGCGCGGCCACGCCCCCTTCTTCTCAGCCTCAGACACGCGGGGCGGGGCAGAAGCAGGTTCGTTCACCGCCGTTTGGGTGGAGACATCACACAACAGCTAACCAAGAAGGCACAAGAACAAACTCCGCTTCCACACCGACAGCTGTAACCTGCTTCTGCCCACATCTGGTCAATGGCCGGCGGAAACGCTCTACCAGATGGACAGGGGCGACCTGTACGGCATCTACACACAACAGACAAGTGGTGCCCGGGACTCCAGTGCCCTGGACCCTAGGATGGATGGCACTGTCTACCAGGGACCTCTCAAAAGTCTGGGAATTACTCTCTTGATGGGGCCCAAGGTGGGCCTGCCTTGGCTCGGGTTCCACGTGGAGCACCCACCCACGCCGTGGGAATGTTCAACGTCAGGGCGACATCCCCGGTTTCAAGGGGCCGCCAGAGGCAGAGCGCCAGCCGACTTCTCAGAGCCCGGGAGAGTCATGGCATCTCCCGCCTCCCCCTTTGCCATGTCCAGCGTCACTGTGGGTGTCCCCTCTAAGGCACCAGGACTTGGTACCTCCATGGACGGCGCACGGGAAGTTGAAGCAGTGGCTTCCGACACTTAGAAAACTGCACTTAGCATTAAAACACAAACCAGAGTCCTGGCTGGTGTAGCTCAGTGGATTGAGCGCGGGCTGCGAACCAAAGCATCGCAGGTTCGATTCCCAGTCAGGGCACATGCCTGGGTTGCAGGCCATGACCCCCAGCAACCGCACATTGATGTTTCTCTCTCTCTCTCTTTCTCCCTCCCTTCCCTCTCTAAAAATAAATAAATAAAGTCTTAAAAAAAAACAAACAAAACAAAACCACAAACCAGAAAGGGCCTACGACAGCAGTGACAGAGGGGGAAAGGCCCTGGGTTGGAATCCAGATTTGGAGTCCGTCCCCCTGGTGACCTGGAGTCAGCCGGGGAAAGCCTGAGCCTCCGTCTCTTCCTCCACCAGGCGGGGACGAGCGCCCCTCACCGGGCTGCTTGGGGGAGGGCCGGGACATGGGGGGTAAACGGGCTCTGTACACAGGGAAGCGCTAGAGACCGCGGGCTGTTCTTACGGCTCTGGCCGTGCGACATGTTTAAAAATCACCCTGTCTTTGCCCTGAGGTTTTTATCTTCTTCTCCCTGAATGTATACAGGGTACGGTACCATAATTGAAACCAACTTGACTTTTCAAAACGGCATCCGATGAAATGCTCTCAAGGGCCAAGGATCACTCTGCACTCGGTCAGACACCCCGCCTGGCAGCACAGAGAAGTTCATGATCACGGGCGAAAGGAGAGCTCGCCTTTCGGGGTAGCGGAGAGGAGCAGAGGCAGCAGGCGTGAAGAGAGGGGGACGGAGGAGGGAGGAGGGGTGGGGGGGTCGGGGGAAGGACACATGACTAGGAAGACCCAGCAGCCGCGGCGTGCGGCTTGGACGCGGGCGGTGCTGCCTGGCCACTAGCTGACACTCTCCCTCCATAAAAACCTAACGCGGCATTATTTTCCGGACAATAAAACCTCCGAGATGAGCTCTGCCACATGTGTTCACGCCCCGCCTGCCCCCCGGGCAGAGCCCTCATGCCTGGAAAATGGAATGGAATACCACATCTTCCAAGCGCATTCTCGGTACACACACCACCGGTTTCACCGCCTCTGTCCTCAATGCTAAACTGCGGGAGAACGCCCTTTCTCAGCATTGGCCAACGCGGCCGCTCAGCGGCCTTGCTCCGGAAAGGATGCTTGGAGAGGTGCCCCTGACTTCCACTTGGCCTTGACGAGGGGGGCAGGGAACCCAGGAGGGCGAGAGCCGGCGGTCTCCTTACCTCGAGCCGTTCACCTGGTTAGGGTTACACTCCATCTTGATGGTGACCCTGGCCGGGGGTTGCGACAGCCAGTCCTGCTGGGGGACGCGCGGGCTCATCTTGGACGTCTGCCCATAGTCGCCGGAGGAGGACGCGGTCATGTCCGTCTTCGCCAGGTGCGGCGTCCCGTAGGCGCACTCAAACAACGACTGGTCCTCGCTCACCACTGACAATGCCTCCTGAGGGCCCAGAGGAACACAGAGTCAGGACGCGCGGGAGGACAGGCACGGCTCAGAGAGTTGCCGACTTTACCCTTGTTTCTCACTGGGACCACCTTGGAGCTGGTTTTATGGGCTCCCTTTCAGGAGAAAGAAAAAAGTAGCTGGTTTCCTCCCTTTCCGGCCCCTAGGAGTGGGAGCCGTCCGGCCCGGGGAAAACTTGCACGCCGGTCTCCCCACACAGCCCGGGACTGCGTGCGGCAGTGCGGAGAGGACCCACTTTAATCTCAACTCAAGGAAGTTGAATTTCAAAGATCTTAGAAGACATCCAATTGCATGTGTCATTATTTGACAAATGCAATCTGTAATTCAAGCAGACGGGAGACAGGATGGCCGCGAAGATTAAAAAAAGAAAAGTGACGGCTCACACCTAAGCATCTGGCGAAATCGCCGCGTTCCCAGGGGAGCTAAAGGGAGAGGTCCTTAGGAGGAGAGTGAGAGAAAACAGAGCACCAAAGGACAAGCACACACAGATATGAATTTTTCCACTTCGGAGTTATTAGCTGCAATAGGCTTGCAAGTGGTGCGTCCATGATGGCGAACATCTGGATGGTAAATGAACCAAAAAAAAAAAAAAAAGCTGTGAATTATCCAGATGCCTTCAAATACCAGGATGTTCAAAATATCTGGATCACCAATGAACTCTTTTTGATTTCCTTCCTCCCTATTGACATCTTTGCCCTTTTGCATGATTTGGTGAGAAGAAATAGATATTTGTGGGTGCTGGATCATTCCTGCGTGGTTTGAAGGCAAACAGGTGGCCGGCCTGTGGCTGGGCGGACAGTCCACCTACCGCCAGGTCAGCAGAGGGAGACCTGGCGTGGGAAGTTCACCCACGCCAACGATACGCCACACAGCAGCAGCTACACCTCAGAATAACCGGGATACCATCCAGTGTCCAGTTCCGTCACACACACACACAGACCCACGTGGCAGCTCACTGTTATCCCAGCCTGCGCTGGCAAACGCCGTACTGCCCTCAGCGAGGGAGGTGCGGATGCTGTTGGGTCCCCCCTTCGTTAAAAGTGGAAACTCTGGAGCCGGGGCGGAGGGTGGGAGGGGGCACTGAGGAGACTGTCGTGTCCAAACTTCTCCTCCCCAGATGAGGAAATCTGAGCTCTAGAAAGATCCAGCCCTTGATGTGAACTGTCTAAGGTCAACAGGGCACCGGTGATGAAGTCACCTTGTGTTGGGTTGTCTGCATCTGCCACCCCATAGCCCACAGTGCTGCCCTTCTTACGTTTCCCGGTTTGGGGGGTGTGTTTGTACTGTACTCCCTTCTCATTCTCTGGGTTGGTGCTAAAATGCACAAGGGTGCTCCCTGCTAGTAGCCGAGCCTTACGAAGCAGCCCCGCTGAGATAGACACCTCCCTCTCTACCCAGAAGCCTCAGAATCTTTATGGAGCACCTGCCATTTCACAAGCCCAGCCCAGCGTGCGCTCTGCCACTCGACGCCCCACCTACCCGAGGACCAACCTCGCTCACAGCTTCCCACGTGCATGGGCTTCGTGCTGTGGACCAGTGAGGAGGGAAAAGGGTGAAAAGCAAGTCTGGCGCTTTGGGTCTCCCACGGGTGGCCGGGTGCCTGCGCGTAGGCACCACCCGCCACCTCCGACTCCTTTAAGTGTCCTGGAACCACAGCCCTGTGACCCTTTGGGAAAGGGCAAGCGAAGGGTTTAAACAAGAACACAAAACGTACAGGAGGACAGGTTGTGCCGGCCAGAGAGCCAGACTCAGGCCCAAGAAAGGAAGGAAAAAAAAAAAGGGCGGGCATGTCAGACACATTGCCGCAGCGTCCAAGACGCCAACAGGCAGAGAGCAGCAGAACGAGGCAGCGGCCTGGCTCGGGGTGCAGAGACGGGCAGGTCTCTCTCTTCCGGCCCCATAAGGAGTGAATGGAGCTAAGGAATCTGAACTCACAGACTCAGGTTTCAAAGTCACATGGGCACCATGGAGTTGGGCAGTTGTGCTCAGGAGGCAAGACAAAAACGACAACTTCTTAAATAATTTCTGCAAAGCAGACTCCCTTCCCACAGCAGCACCAAGACAGCGGTTCATACGCCCAGAATGGGAACGAGGCCGGGGCTGCCCCTTCTCCCACCCGGCCCCGCAGACCCCGCCAGGGCTCAGAGAGGAGAAACGTACCGCGGAACCTCGGCCTTGGCTCACCGGCGAAAAGAAACACGAACAGATGTGTGGTTCCTATCAGAAACTGGCAGGCGCAGGTTAGATACAAGAAGCAGGTTCATTGCAAAACTACAAGCAAAAAAGTGGCTCTTTCACAACAAAGAGTGACGATGTTACAACACTAGCGTGACCTCCCGAGAAAAATTAGGAAGTTCTTGCAAACGCATCTAATGACCAGATCAACGTAGCGTGAGATTTTGGAAAAGGGACCAAAACATCAGAACTCAGACAAGGCTACAGAGTGCGCTCAGAGCGGGAGGAGTCTGCTCCCACATCTGGCAGAGCATTATTTCAGCACATGGTTTTTGAAAGAAAGGAATCAAAGTTCATTGAGATCGATTTAGGAAAAAAAAAAAAAAAACACTTAGGAGAGCCAGAGATAAGGGAGATGCACGTTTTCCCTCTGTATCTCCAAGTTCTCCTCCAAGTCCAAATCGTGTAAAGATGAGAATGGCGATGAGACTCGGGATACCAAAAGGTGCTTTGGCTCACGGCAGGAGAAACAGTCGGAAAAAAAAACAACATGTAGCTGCAGGGTAAACGTTTCAGAAGGAGCGCAACCCAGTCCACCTCCTGCAAAGACGGAGCAGTCAGAGAGAGAGAGAGAGCCGCCCCAGGGCAATTCCAACGGAACCAGGACGGCCAGACACTTGGATTTAAGTCCAGGTCAGGAGAGGAAACGCACGGATGCACAGAATCACACACACACACACACACACACTCGCACGCACGTGGCCGCCTGCCCGTGCAGCCAGCCCGTTTTAACAGCGGGCAGCAGGGAGGAGCTGCGGGGCCGTCTTCAGAGACCCCCTCCGGCAGGGGCGGCCACCGCCGGCACACACACGCTACGCTCCCACGGCCTCGCCCTGCTCGCCCACTCCACTGCGCCCCGTTCCGCCCCCGCTTCGCCATCCCTTTGCGCACAGTCTGGGTGACAAGAGCTGACGCAGGGGATCCGCCCGCTGGGCAGCCCCGGGACTTCAAAGCTGGGACAGGCTCTCGCCCCGCCCCTCGGGATTAAAACCAGAACGAAGGGCGCTCTGAACTCAGGCTCGTAACCAGGAGCACATGAGTGAGTCCCTGCACCCCGGCTCTGCGAGGGGCCGTCCGGGGCCTCGACGACGGTCACGCTGCCCTTGTCTCCGTGCCTGCCTGCCGCCTGCCTGGCTTCGCTCCTCTGCAGCGCCGGCTCACCTACCTGCCTGCCCACCCGCCAGAGGGGTCGCCTTAGCGAACGTGCGAGGGGAACTTCTCCCAGGACGGCCGGCCGGCTGGCTGGCCGCAGGACGCGGGCACTGCTGTGGTTGCTTTACAACACAGGAGTCAGCAGAGCCAAAACCTGGCAGAAACTCGGCATAACGACTTAATGTGCCTGCCCCTGCGTTACTATAAAAAGACCTGAACTTTAGATTGGTGTGCTCGCGAGTGCGCGGGGGTGTCTCCCGGCTGCTCCAGGAAAGTTGGGATAATCTGATGTGGCCGGTGGCGGGGGACCAAGGCCGTTTTTTATGAACTCGGGAGAAACACATAAACTCTCGGCAAACCGCCCCCAGACAAAAGGGCCCGCTGTGTTAGTGCGCGGTGTGTGTTTACAATTTCATTCGGACGCTGAGTGCGCACAACACGCGAAAACCATTCCTCCGGGTTTCCGTCACGGGGTAGCCGTTGACCGCGCGGGTCCCAGAACGTGGAGAGGACTCAACCACATTGCACTTGCTTGATACAGTAGGACTGAAACATGCTTTTATTTTTAAATAACTAGATCGGGGTCCAACAAAGGATCCAACATGCTTGGATTACAAACTAAAAAAAAAAAAAGGAGAAGGTCAAATGCACTTGACACGCAAACCGCCACTTCCAGCCAAAGGCCCCGATGCCGTTCCGCCACAGACGGGCATTTTGAGAGGCTCCTTTCATGCAAGCAAAAGAATTTGAAAATAAGGGTCTGGGCTCACGTTTGCTTCCAACGTGAGCCCCACGGCTCATAAAAACACTGTGATGTCGTTAACCCACAGAACGCATCATGCTTCAGTTCTCAGGACTGGCCGGCCGCAGCCGAGTGCTGAAAGCGAGAACATCCGAGACAGGGATGAGCCCTCTTCCCCGGCCGGACCACGGGATGCACACAGAGGGAGGCGACCCCTCCGCGCTGTTCAGAAATTCGGAAGACGGCCAGGCCCCGCTGTGCAGGGCACTGGATTCCCCAGTCGCCCTCCGGTCTCCTCGAGCCTGCGTGCCTCAGAGGCTTACGAAAAATAAACGGGAACATGGAGAGCGACAGGCACGCTGAGTTTGCGGTCACACTTCCGAAAGCAACGCCGTTCAGGGTCCTTGCTGTCACAACGCCGTGTCCACTTCAGGACGCCAGGGGCATCTTACACCCACGGCCCGCCTCTCCTTGGAGGCCTCGCCTCCTGACACCCCCAGTGCAAAACTCCTCCTGCACTTCCTCTCGTACACAACCGGGAGGGATCTGGAATGTCACACAGCTCCCTGCACTGCACAGTGAGATCTTGTAGCCACGCTTCTCGACTCCTAAACAGTGGACCCACCGCACAAAAAACCAGGTCACCTCGGTAAGCGCTCGGCATGCAATGCCTTTCTAACGTCTGCTTCCCCGGCCCCGTCTCTCAGGTTTGCGCAGCTCTGCAACCTGGGTGCCTCTTGCAGCCAGGGGCGGGCCACCAGTTAGCGGCAGCTTTCCTTCCTCCCTCCTGGCAGACAAAGTGATCGTTCATTTTGTCACCAGCGGCACCTCACGTTTTACGAACGAC